AGGTTGAGTATATCACGTTGGTGTATTCATACACCCCATTTGAGTATTGTATAAGAAGTAATTTCGTAATGTTGGTTATGTGTTTTAAAATTAACGTTTTTATAGTTGTTTCGCATATAGGTGAGACCTATTCCGAGGACGAGCACGGTCACTCGAGGCAAGGGGGTTACGACCCTTCTACATATCAGTGAGTGGGCTTTTGGTGTTCCGTATATACCTATATACTTACGTTTTTCCCAGAAAGTGATTGGAAACGTTTATACATTTATATGCCATGCATTATGTTTGCCGTTTGTTTATGCATTATTAATAGCATATATATATCTGTATGTTGGTGCTGCGGGCGCACAGATAAGTGCCAGGTAAGTTATGGTTATATTCATGTTCAGTAGTGATTCGAGATGCATAGAGAGCTCATAACCTGCACCCCCGGTGTTAGTGCTCCCGCCCAGAGTTGGGCACAGTCCTTCACGTGATGTTCACCTCCCGCACCACATGCTCATCTTGGATCCAAGTTAGGTGCACAGTCATGTCGTACAGACCACTTTAGGTGGTTCCAACTCGTAGGTGACCCGCGATTATTCGCCCAGCCTTCACGTGATCGTAGCACTCGAGCATACTTATTATACACCCAGTCCTGTCGTACAGACCACTTTAGGTGGTTCCGACTCGTGTGCAGGTACAGTTAGTGAGATGGAGATCTGAGCTCTAGATTTAGCCGTACAGGTCACGTTAGGTGACTCCGGCTGACAGATTCATGGCATTGATTTTGACATTTTCCTGAGCACTTGCATTTATTTGAGGCATTTGGCATGGCATATTTCTGAGCATGACTTATATATATGTATATTCTATTTTTCTGGAAAGTATACAGGTTTTACGGCGAGGGGTTAGAACCTTGTTTATGAAATGGTCTTTGAAAAGCTTTGTTTTTGCCCACTGACACTTTTTGTTTTGCGCCCCTCCAGGTTCTAGTTGGCTAGCACTTTTGGTGGCTCCCCAGAGGATTTTCCCGGCATATCTGACAGATTATCACCAATGTAGGACCACCTTTGGGTGTGTTTTTGTAGTGTTATTTCTCCCAGACTGCATTAGGTCTTCGAGCTCTGAACTTTGTTTTTCACACTTACGCTTGCACATGTATGTTCTTACTTTATGTAAAGCTGGTTTTTATTTATTCGTACTTTTATTATTATTTTATTAGCTTCCGCACTGTGCACATGGTTACGTCACTTCCACGTGACGGCCAGCATGCCCTGATCTTGATCGGGGTGTGTCATTATCAATCTCAGATATCATTTTATCTAAAAAAACCTATAAAATATCTACAGTTAAAAGTTTGAAGAAGAGAAATAAAAGTAAGAAAAGTAGAAGAAAAAAAGAAGAAGAAAACAACCCACAGCTCACCAAACAAACTAATGGGCGGTGCCAACGTTGTTTTGACGACTTTTGTATGGAAGCAGTAGGAATCCGCACGTCAATTATTTATTTTTAAATCTCTCATTTTTCCAGTCTTAATCCACGTTTTCTCCACCATGCAAGAGAAAAAATCTAAGCACCTGACCTCGATTTCAATTCATCACAAAGGGAAGAGGAAGTTTAGTTTATTTTCATTTTATTTCTGTGTGTTTGGGGTGGATTAGGTTGGGGGAGTCTTAAGATTCATGCGTTCACATTTTCTAAATGTAGTCTAATTTTTTAGGGTTGAAGATAATTTTGGTCCTTGTATCTTTTATGGATTTAATAATTTTAGTTCATGTATTCTTACTTTGGAAAATTTAGTTTGTTCTTTGCCCCGTACTTTGACATGCTCTATCAACCAACCATATTGCCCGTGAAAGGTTTAATGTAACAACTTGTTCCTAATTTTACGGTTTTTATAATTTTAATAAGTGAATTTACGAAAATGCTCTTCGAGGCAAATGCATTGACTTTGTTTGACCACCTTGTCATGTCATTTTTGGTGATGGTGGTGGTTTGTTTTCACGGGAAGAAAGGGAGAGCCAAGAGAGAGTGAGAGAACTCTTGAGAGAAAGAGAGAACAAGAGAGAAAAGGGAGGAGAGAGAGAGCGTTCCAGAATTTTTGGGTGCCCACATGGCACTCATCCAATAGTTAGACAAAAATATCACATGTCCAATTAATTATCAATTTACCAAAATATCCTCGACGTTCAAAACTTCATAAAATCTTCGTTACAATTCCGAATCACATTCTGTTTGCGCCCACATGTCCATAGCGACGAATACTATGAGGATACGCCAAGAAAATAGATCTTACATGACACGACAAGGTGGTCAAACAAAGTCAACGCATTTGCCTCGAAGGGCATTTTCGTAAATTCACTTTTTAAAATTATAAAAACCATAAAATTGGGAACGGGTCATTACATTTAACTAGCGTAGTTAGTAAAATATGAAACGAGTATAGTACTGTAATTATATTATTGTGCATGTTTGTTTATTGATATAAATTATTTCATTTCTTTTATTAAAAAAATATATAAAATACGTGAATTTTACATGTAGTGAAAAGTGTATTAAACGTGGAAAAGTGTGTATGCACGTGTATAACACATGTAGTGTAGGTTGAAGTTTTGAAAATGTGTAATTTAACGAGACATGCGCAAAAAACAAAAAATATGTTTGAAAATACTAAAAATTAAATAATAAAAAAAATAGATTCCCCCAGTTGTACACATGTTTTGCTATCTCTTTCAAATAATAAGAGAGATAAGAAGATGATTATTTATTTATTTATTTATAATTGGTTACACCAAATAATTTATCATCTTTGGGTGACACGGAGCGTTTTATTGAGTGGTAATCACAGTCACAATTAAGCCATTTTCACTTCTACAAGAAGTTATAAATTGTTGTCTTCTGAATTTTCACTTCAATAAGGTGACATCAGATATAGAAATGTAGTGACAAAAAATCTTAGAAAACTTCGTAGGTGGGACACTATTGATGAAAATAATAGCATAAAAAATGGAATGATTTGGGCAAAAAGACATATATGTTTTTTTTTTAGTATATCGATATTTTTACACAAAAGGGAGGGGGAGTTCGATTAAGCCACATAATGGGCAATTTAATTTGGTATCGAATTCAACATTCACGAGATTTAAAGCGAATACCTCTCACTTCCAAGTGAAGAAGAATACCAACAGACCATAGTACTGAATGGCAAAAGACCTATATGTTTTTAAGAGAGTGCATGGTTGGAAATGATAAAATTGGAAGAAAATATGAAATTTTAGGATAATTAGAAGGTTTTTATTTTTTTTTTATTTTTTATTTTTTTATGGTTGGAATTAGAAGAAAATATTTAAAAGCGCGCAGTTGGTATTGGGAGATGGACGAAAACTATATTTTTGTTAGTTTAAGTAAATTAATTAATTAGCAGTAGAAGAAGAGGAAAATAATTTTGTAGAGGTAACCAAGTCAATAATGGATTGGTGTTTGGATCGAACCACCAAAATTTTTAGTCGTTGACCTTTTGGATTAACTAGTCCCTTTGCTAAGCGGATGAGATTTTTTAATGTGCCTAAATATGGGCGGTCTACTATGTGGTACTATACAATTGAAGTGAAGTTCTTATTTCAAGTGTTCCTCTACTTTTATAATGATGTATGACATATGTACCCGTGTTCTAAATACACTTAAAAATCTATCGCCAAAGAGAAATTCTTGGGTGTCACTAAGTAGTACATACTCGGTGAGTCTATCCTAATAACTAGATATGAGAGAGATTAATGACTACGTACAATCAGTGGTAGATCAAATTTTCTCCATGCTTCATATATGATAGTTTTTAAGTTTATGTGAAAATAAGGTGACTTTTTCTTGAGTTACATTGTAAGAAAGACATTTGACGTTAGAAGCAACCTGGTTTTTCATATTAATATTGGCATGTGCTTGAACTTTGAAACCCTTTACTCAAAGTTTTAACTACATGATGCATTTCGTCCCATGGCCAGTAGTTCCAAGGGTTCCGGAGAGCCTCTGAAGGATTCTCTTGTTCTCAGTTTTTACATTTTTAAAAACTAAAATCTTGCTTGGTAATTACTTTTAGTTTGGAAAAATGAAAACTGAAAACTGAAAACCAAAATGTAAAAACTCAGTGCCGAATTTTGAAAACTCAAGAAAGTAGTTTTTAGTTTTTTGAACAGCGAAAGTAGTTACCAAACGAGATTTCAGTCTGCAAAAAAAGTGAAAACAAAAACTAAAAACCAAATCACTATCAAACAGCCCAAACAAACCAAACTTTGAAGTCAACAAAACGAGACAAAATGCTTCATGTATGTATGACTCGCTCTTTGGGTTTGGTCTTATAATGTTCTTTGTCCTGTGTCGTATGAATCACGGTTTAATTATATATAACACACAAACCGTTCAAACCTACAGATAGGCACTGGACCATTACTATATTGAATGGAATCAGAAACTTCTCTTTAATATACATTACACACTTCAATTTCAAACACTCACTCAATCTAGAAACCTACAAAATTTCTTCGGTGAAACCAACTTCAGTTCTAGAAGGCGGTCCCACACGTGACACGCCCCATCTAGATGTTCCAAATTCGTAGCATCGATGACATGACATGAGAGTAGAAACTAGAAACATGAGAGCTGGAACTTTTGTTTTGGTCTCAACGCATGGAAATCAGACTTTTCTATAGCAAATACAGCCTCTCATCATGCATTCAGTCATCATCTTTCTCGTAATTTTACCAACTACAGGTAGCAACTTTTTCTCCAACCATTAGAAGTAAGGCAGTAACACTTTTCATGAACCAAAATTTGAGGAAAACCAGCCCTTAGACCTTAGTTCTAGTCTTCTAGACCATAAGAATAAACATAACAGCTTCACTATATTATGTGTGTGTGTGTGTCTATATATGTATATAGGGCAAGTGAGTGACAAAACGTACCTGTTAAGCAACTGACGACAGGCCTGAGCTCAAACAAGCAGCAGTTAAATTCACAAAATAATATACGCTCTGCTAAGATTTCCTTTCCATTAGCTGAAATATTGAGTTCTTCAATAAAATAAAAACTCTGACAGTTCCATTCTCCGTTACAACTCAAAATCAGAAATCATCAATTCAATTTGTCTTTCACATCACCATTGAACATCTTTGAGTAATACAACTTTGGTTCTCATTCTTTTATATACAACCAATTAATATTGCAAAACTTTGCTTACTCTTTCTCCTTCCTGTCTAAACATTATATCGCGGCTTACTCAAACGAGTTATCCAATGAGCTTTGCCAGCATAATCATTGGTTCAAATCATATATATTTACGAAAACTGACTACCTGTTTGATTTCTTTGAAAACTTTGGGTTCTTGCACATTCGGATACTTGCGGGAGTGACCTCCACCAATTCATCCTCTTGAATATACTCAATGCAGTCATCCAGACTGTAGTCCAATGGGGTGTCAAGAATCACTGCACAGAGAGATGGGAGAACCAAGATTATTAAATGCCATGAACTGAGGCTTGCTTCTGCAGATGTACAAACTCAAGAAAATCAAATTGCTTATCGAAAGTTTAGAAGAAAGCACGAGAACCCAACCATTTTTATAACCACAGATTATTGACGTGGGAAATTGGAGGGACCTTTCAGAAATTATTAGTATAATAAAAGGCCTACTGCATTGGTTCTGCCAAATATTAAGCATGACACCATTAAACTTAAGAAACATCAAATATCCCGTTCTCCTCACAAATATAAGGATAATTTTGTTCTGGAAATAAAATAAAATAAAATAAAAAAAGAAAAGTGGACATTTAAAACATGTAGAGCAAAATCAAAGCTATCATGATAAAAATTCAATCTATTTGGGTTGCTCCATGTGGAATACTATGTTTATTGGGTCTCCCTAAAAGTACCACTAACAATGGGATAAATAGCTAACAAAGAAACAACTTGGTTAGACATAATTGAAATGTTAGGAAAAAGTTTAGTTTTTATTAATTACTCAGCATTGTTGCCTCAAAACAGCTAAACCTCACCGATATTATATTTTTGGTCAACATATCAAAGCTTAATAAATGTAAACTTAATAATATCAGAAGGGAGTTAACTCTTTCGTGCAATAGACAGGAAATAAAATAACAGGTACCATAGTTGCTTCTCACCTGTTTGTTCTTTGTTGGAACGGATATTTGTTGCTGCCTTCTTCTTACACACATTAAGGGACAAGTCCCCAGGCCGCTGATGGATGCCAACTATCTGACCTTTATAAACTTCGACCCCGGGACCAATAAACAACTGCCCCCTCTCCTGTGAGCTAGAAATGGCGTAAGAAGTACTCGTTCCACCCTCAAAGGCAACCTAAAAATCAATTTGTCACAATTCAGTTTAGTTATCCTGACACAGGGAAGACGGACATGCAAGTCACAAATATGATCTTCATTTGGATGACTGCAATGCTTGAACTTGAGTATTCACCTTAATGAAAAGTTAGGTTAAAATCATTGTCACAAATATGATCTTCATTTGGATGACTGCAATGCTTGAACTTGAGCATTCACTTTAGTGAAAAGTTAGGTTAAAATCATCTCAACCTTAGATGTGCAGAAGTGTGACAATTGATAATAGCAACTGTTCTAGTCAGTACAATAACTGACAAGGGCAAAAGGCTTTCAGCCTTTCACCACCACTAAGACTTGCAAAGTTAAACATCAAAATAATGATATATTGGAAGTTACCAGTGAACCCTGATCCCGGGTACTCATATCACCAGCCCAAGGTCCATAGCTATCAAATACTGTGTTGAGAATTGCAGTGCCACGAGAAGCTGTTAAAATTGCATTTCGTAAACCAAGAAGGCCACGAGTTGGAATTTTATATTTGAGGAAGGTTGTGCCTTCAGACCTAGTGCATGCATAAAGTCCAAACAGATAATCAGATCATATGTTGCTATCACCATGCGGAAAAATTCAAGTAATAACTGTCTTTGGCCATAATCAGAAAACAAAAGAAGAAGAGTACTCTGACCCTCCAAGGTACCCACTGCGGGGGGAAAGGGGTCATTGTTGAACAGGATGACAATTAAGTATTAGTTTACTAATGTTCTTTTGGTTACATAGTCTAATCATTTCAAAATCAGACATGTGCATAGTACTAGTTAAAGAGAATACTACATAGAAAATGCATCTGCACCAGTTCAGGATGAGAGACTGACAAGCAATTGTGGTAGAGAAAGCACAGTATATATCTAATGGAAGAACAATGTTTCTCACAAGATCTTCATTATGGACTGGATGTTCAGGTGCAAACTGCAAGGTCAACTAATGTGCATTACATATATAGGGGAAAATATGAGGGTGCATGGATACTGCACCTACACAAACATATGCATGAAATTATTGATTGGCAACTGAATTTTACGTAATTACCGTATATTTACAAAAAAATATTATCTTTTACAGTGTGCAAACTTTGGTTGCACCCTAACCACTGCTAGAGTTATAAAGAAAATTATGCTCTAAATATTATCATGTGCTCGCTCATTGCCTCTCATTCTACTTTATGCATTTACTTTGAATTTAAAAAAGATGATAAGTTAAAGATGAACATAGAAGCATGAAATGTCTACACACCCAACTCCTTGCATATCAAACATCTGCCCCCGCCTTTTGCCAAGAAGCTCAACAACAGGGCCCATGTGTTCTTCTGGCACCTCCACAGTGGCGATCTGCAAGCAATCCACATGACATAAATGACTGATATCAGATGAGTGGTCCCATGATTCCTAACTTGTAGGGGATATTTTACTTAAGAAAATTTATTTGGCAATATCGTTACTTTATTTGTAATTTTGAACAAACCATGCACCACAGTTCTTAAGAACAAAGCAATGCATTTATTATTATTTTTAAGTAGAATGACAATGTGCCCTATTTTGATTCCCATTCTTTCAAAATGGAATAGAAATATTGGTCTTCAAACGTGACAGTAAGTATTTCTAACATTTGCCCATTTCGTACACATAAGAAACAATAAAGTTCCGACACTCACCTCATATGGTTCCAGCAATTTGTCATTCACCCTTTTGTTAATAACTTTGGGAGGTCCCACCATGAATTCATATCCTTCTCTTCGCCTGAATTAAATAACCATTTAAAATTGTGCATATAGAATTAATAAGATTGTAGAATAACAACTAAATAACTATACTCACATGTTCTCAATCAATATGGTAATATGTAAAGTACCCCGTCCACTAACAATGAAGGTATCTGCTGTTTCGCCATCTTCAACCTTCATAGCCAAGTTACCCTCAAGCTCACGAGAAAGGCGATCTCGTAAGTTCCTACTGGTAACATACTTTCCCTGAAAAGGACGAAATAAATTTCCAATCATTGTCACACAAGACAAAAATCACTTGATCACTGTATTTTGTGCCAGAACTAATTACCAGAGGGACATTAAAAAAATATATGAACCATTGACCAGGCAGAATCTTAAGTTGTCAGATATATTGCAGGCTATGTTGCTAGATGTCAATCAAGGACCACTGATTAGGGGGACTCACTTTAATCTACAGTGACAATTCTAACATCATACTATGCAAAAATGTGGCAATTGAACATTACCCCATTTTGACCAAAAAAGAAAAACATTACCCTATATATATGTTAATACAAAATCATCTCCATTACTCATTCATGCATTATTAAAGTGCAGATTCCAATCTCGAATGTCCTCATATCTTCTGCTCAATCCACCGACAGGGTAAATACTTTAGGATGTGGAATGACTGTTTAGGAGTCGGATTTTACGCAGATTGTTCAATATTCTGGCTTGTTCATAACTTCAAACATTTACCCTAAGGAAATCTCAAGGAATTGATTAAAGTTATCATGGTATGAGACAGTAAACAATAGTAGAAACTATTTTATAGGCATACCTCACGTCCAACAAACGGTGAAGTGTTTATGGCAAAAGCCATTTTCACTGTTGGTTCCTCAACCCTAATGGCCGGTAATGGTGTACCAGAGATCTTACAAGCAATTGTCTCGCCAATCTGAGCAGATTAAAAAATATTAAATAAACCATGAAATAACTCTCAAGTTTATAAAAATGTGATAGCATCAACAAAGTTATAACCTGAATATCATTGATTCCACAAACAGCACATATATCACCAGCCTCCACACTTTCTGCAGGAACCCTACTAAATTTTTCATACACAAAAAGCTCACTAACTCTTGCAACTCGACATGCATCTTCTGTGGTGCATACCTATAAAATACACCATATCTAGAAGTTTAGAAAACTTGTTTCTTTTCCTTTGTTGAAGAAAATGCATTAAGATGAACTTTATGCATTCCTTTTGTTTTTGAAAATGAACTTCAATCATGAGAAAAGAATACCATCTTAAAAATTCAGATTAAACATGTAAATATACTACCGATAAGGGTTAAATATTAACAGTGATAATCAGATATCGTGAAAATAATACCCCGAGCTATTTAATTTGGAAAAAGAAAAGGCTAGAATGTAACATTGACCATGTTCCAGTTTTGGTTCAAACTCACCTTCACATCCATCCCTTTCCTCAGAACCCCAGCATGCAAACGTCCAATAGCTATTCGTCCTTTATGCTCATCATACTCGATGTTTGTAACCTGCAATGTTTTGATTAAAATTAAATACAGAATAATCTATAGATGCCTAAGTTGAATAATAAGAAAACTCGAGAAATAAACAGAGTAAAGTAAAAGCAAATGCAGCTGAGTTCCACAGGTGCAAGTTAAAGCTATACAAGTATTATGGTATTATGGTGACAAATAAAAACTTTTGTAGTGCAGTTCAGTTTGTCTTCCCTAACCACTCTACCAAATTGCATTAATATGGACCAGAAATTTTGTAATTCATAACAGTCAAATATAGCCATTAACTTTCTTCATTTTCCTGAAATGTAGTAAAAAGTCTTCTTGTTCTGAAAGCACATCAGAAACTTGATAGGTAATTTAGGAAACTCACTCTTCCAGAGTTATGCAAGCAGCAGCTCATATTGCCTTGGATCATTTACAAATATCAACACGTGTTATGGAAGCAAGAACAAAAACAACAGCAACAACAACAAAGCCTTTTCCCACTAAGTGGGATATGCTTTATAGAAGCAAGCACAATTAATATAAATATCTTGTTCTTCATCTTCCACTTATCAATTTCAAACGGTCAAGATGTTAAAAGAGTCTGAGCCTCCTTTGACTCTTCTCCTATACTAAAAAAGAAGGATATTCCATACAGGTCTTTACATCAAAAGCCTTGGAACCTAATTCTATTGATCAGCCTTTCTTGGTAGACAAATAGTTTCTTGATCCAGATTTTACAGTCACGATTAGTAGTAAATATCTATAAAATAAAAGGAGAAAGAACGATGAAATTATCAAAAAGTACTGACAAGCATTTGAAGTGCACCATCTTTGTCAATGGCAGGTCCAGGGATGCATCTCATTATGGCCTCGAAAAGTGGTCCAAGATCATCTGCCAAATTATCAGCTGACAACCCAGCTTTTCCTTTAATCCCACTAGCATATATTGCCTGGAAATCACACTGCAAGCAAAACGATGAGATTAGACTTCTTAGCTTTCCCAACCTGATCAAGATTCAATCATTCAAAACATGTTTAAAAGGAAATTTCTGTCTATTGCAAAATGATGAGATGAGATGAGATTAGACAATTAATTTGTTACCTGTTCATCAGTGGCATTTAGTTCAATGAATAGTTCAAAAGTGGAATTGATGACAAAATCTGGACGAGCTGAAGGCCTGTCAATCTTATTAACAACGACAACAACTGCATGACCAAATTCTAGAGCCTTCTTCAAAACAAATCTCGTCTGTGGCATCGGGCCCTCAACAGAATCTACCTAAAAACACAAAGCAAGCAAACTGCTGATTTCAAAAGCACCAGACATAAGGATTAGAAGCCAAAGCAACACAAGGTGCAAAAGAGTACCACTAAAAGAATCCCTTCCACCATATTGAGGATGCGTTCGACTTCGCCTCCAAAGTCAGAATGTCCAGGAGTATCAATTATATTAATCTTTGAGTCTTTATAAGTAATAGAGGTATTTTTGCTTAGTATAGTAATTCCCCTTTCACGCTCTAGATCATTCGAGTCCATTATCCTTTCCTGTACAAATTGGTTATCACGAAATACCTGCACAAAAGCCCCTAACAATGTCATTAAGAAATTTTGAAATACGAAACCAAAAAAAATATAGCATGAAGAATTTTCGTGAGATTTATACTCTACCTTTGATTGCCTCAACATTGCATCAACCAAAGTTGTTTTTCCGTGGTCGACATGCGCTACGATTGCTATGTTCCTTATGTCAGTTCTCCTCATCAACTTACTCCTCCTCTCTGAGACAAGAACCAAGTTTCCAATCAGACTAACCTTACCCACCATCCCCAATCAACACACACACACACACATCAATCAATCAATCAAGAAAGCAACCACTTATCTACGACTATTCGAAGATAAATTCTGAGACCAACTTGCTCTAAATACGAAATTACGTAGGAATTGGTGCAGTAAATAGGAAAATATCGAACAGAAGCATGGAAATGAAAGATTGCAAGAGAAGAAGAAGAAGAAGAGAAAGTACCTGTTTCAATGGCGGCGGCTTCGGTGGCTTCAGAGACCGAGCATTTGATTGGCGGGTGAGCGGAGAAGCGTTTCGGGTTCCGGGAGCGGAGTTTGAGTGTGGTGGTTTTGGCGGTTGAGGAAGAAGGTAAGGTGAAGCCGAAGAGTTGCTTGGCGACTGGAAGAGGAGAGGAAAGGCTGGTGCTTCTAGGGTTTGGGATGGAGAAGGAGGAGCTGTGGAAGCTGCAGGTTGCCATCTCCATGGCTCTGACTCTGTCCTCGCAGTGGCTCAGCCTCAGGGAGAGAGATAAAGAGGAGATTTGGCAAGTGAAGGCTGCTATTGGAACTTCCAAAGCAAAACAAATAAAACTTGCGGGAGGACTCCACATCCTCGTTGAGTGGGACCCGGAGAAGGTGGGTCCTCTGTCATCTTTAGTTAATTTGGGTCCCATCTGTTTTTCGATTTTATTTTTTATTTTTTAGAAAACATAACAACTCTTCACCGTCACGTAACATTTTGAATTAATAATATAAGGATATGTAGATAAAAATTTATATATTTTTATTAGAATGGGATGTCACGATGTCAGTTAACATGTACTATATGAGTAATTCTCTCAAGATAGGTAGTAATTGGATAGCAAATGCATCTCTAATAGGTGTATCAAAAATATTAGCAAGTTGAAGAAGGGAAAATGATTTTAACACATCATTTCTCACCTCATTCACACTGTGTAGTTTCGTAGCTTTTATACTGAACAATTAAAGTAATCAATGGTAAAAACTTAATAGGGAACATGTACAAAGTAAAAGATGGCATGTTAAAGTGATTATTCAAATATATAAGGTGAATTAGAGCATCCCCAATGAGAGGCTTTATATTGGGCTAGAAAAGTGGTGGATGTAGCCTAATTTAGAACTCCGAGGAATCTTTGGGGCTCTAAAAAGAATTTTTCCCAATAAAGGGCTATATATCATTCGGGCTCTATATGAGGCTATATATATTATTTATGTAGTAATTTGATTACGCGGTAAATTTATTTTTGTCTTAACTTTTTTTAACTTGATTTTTGAACGTGTTACTTAAAATTTAATTTCTAACAAAGTTAGATTTCATCACCTATGCACTGTTGTAGGCTATCTTAAATCTCATCCGTTGGTTTGTTTCTATGAAATCAGACAAGATAAGATTTCATTTTATAACAACACCGATGGATTTGATTATCTTATCTCAATCTTATCCATTGGTTTATTTTTCTGTTTAATACATTCTCAGAAATCAAACAAGATTTTCATTTTATAACAACTATTGGATTGCATTATCTTATCACAATTTAATAATGTTATTCAGTTTAGATCTCTAAACCACCAATGTTAAATTTCATTACTTTTTTTTTTATGAATTTTTCAATCTAGAAAATTAAATACAAACCACTACATTTTTTTCCTAATCAATCACACAAAAAATAGTTGTGGTTTGTATATGTTTTCTTAAGCAAACAAACGGTTGAAAATGAACTTAAAATCCTAAACGGTTGAAAAATAAACCCTTAAAATCATATTTTGAAAACAAAAATCAGGCTCTCCCATTTCTAAATGAAAAAAAAAAAAAAAAAAACCAAGATTAGGCCCCCCAGTTTGGTGTGGGTCCCCCTACTTTTTAAGGCTAGATGTAGCCTAACTTTTTGTTATTCAAAGATTGAAGTCATTAGCCCATGTGGTGGACGTATTCCCATTTTTCGGCCCATTGGGGATGAAATTTTCGTTAGAGTTATAAATGTGGTAACCTTAAAAAGGATAAAGCCCCATTGGGATGCTCTTACTACTTTTCAATTTAGCAAATTAAACCCTATAATATATATTAATTAAAATATTGTTTACTAAATAGTTGGAAGATAAAATTTGGGCAGCCAAAATAAGATAAACTTAAAAAAATGAAATATAAAATTTAAAGAGTGGGTTAGAGTGACATATTTTGAAGGGTGGTGATTTTCACAATTCCTATTTTACCTCTCATGAACTATTTTAATTGTTTTAGATTATTGAGGGTGTGTGTGAAATAAAACGAGATGTGTGAAATATCACCATCTTATATATTATTACATGATTAACTATTAAATAACTGAAAAACTATGAATGAAGTAAAATGTAACATGTGAAAACCACCACATATTTTTAAAGCAGCATAAAAGTGTAACATTAGTTAGCAAAAGACACCTTTATAGAAAAATATTGCTAACTCCTTTGAAAATGCATGTCAGTCATTTTTACATATTCAGTAATAATATTAAAAAAAAAGAAGAAGTCATTCTCCACTTAAAATACGTAAAAATACAAGGGTATTTCTAATGGGAGACTTTAGCCCAAAAAAATCTCCACAATGCATATATTTGGTTGGACTAAATTTAAGTTCAGAATGTTTTGGACTCAAATATTATACTTGTTACAACTTGGACCAAAAAAAATTGTGGGCCTAAACTGAAGAAATTTAGTCTATATGAAGATCAGTAAATAGAAGAAGTGACATGCACACTCACCAAAAGCAAAGTTGTATTGCCCTGATTTAATTCTAGATTTTATTTTTGATGGTTACAATAATCTAATGGCTTAGGGTGCATTTCAACATTTTGTAATAGTTTCAAACTCTTTCACTTCTTTTATTTATTATAAATTAAAAACAAATACACTTTGAAATAAAAGTTATTCAATAACCGATATTTAAATCCAACAAACAAAATAATAATATTAATTAATTCAAATATTATCCAACCTTTATCTCAAACTCTGTGTTCAATAATCTAAGAGAAAAAAATTGAATTTGTTCATCTTTCTTACTAAAGTTCTTCAATTATTTCCATTATTCTTTCAAGGCTTTTTTTTTATTAGCACCCTACTATGCAATGACAATTTTGATCTCATTTGATATAAATAAAAAAAATTAAATACATCATAAATCATTTTTAATGTATTATTTATTTTTTTCAACTATCAAAACCCCTCTTACTCTCCATTGTTAACAAAACCTTAACCAATGAAACTACAAACATGTTGATTGGGAAAAATATTTTTGACAAATGGAATACGAAATCAATGTTTTGGAAGCTTCACATGAGGTAAGACTTCATATTTTTCATTGTTTAGGGATTTCATCGACATCGATAATTATTTAATCATGCTTTTGTTGCGTGTTAAACTGAGCTTTCTCTTTCTCTTCTTGGATTTTGCCTCTTCATTATGCAATACATTGCTACTTTCATATATTAGTTCATCCAAATTGGCAGGGCAATGATTCAAGAATCAAACTATTTACAAACATAATGAAAGCACTGAATAGCTTCATGAATTTACAAATTGCATTTGCTAGCTATAATTCAAGAATCAAAATTGTTGCGACTATGTAATTAAATCTACCGTAGCTATAAACTTCAACTTGATCGCCATATTACTTTGCATGAATCTAAAACAGCACAATTCAATCATTTGGCTCTTAAACATTTTTCATTGAAACACCATCATGCTTAATTAATGAGCTCTAGAATTGGCCAATATATGTTTTGCAAAAAATGCTTGGGAAGAGAATGAACCACAATCCACAAGAGTACAAATTATAGATACATGCAAAAATCTCTTATTTGAATTGTGAGGAAGTTCCGACTCACTTGAAAGGCGTATTCATTCATTGATCTCCATAATTTCTCAAAATAATACAATTGTGTAGCAATTATTACCCTAGAAGTAATTAACCATGAAATAGTATGATGAGAATGTGAGATATGAGGGTATTATGGGAAAGTAGTGGGGTGTATTAAGATAATTTTTATTTGAAAAAAAAGTGTGAGGTGTATTAAGTATATGAGGTTTATTCAATAATATGTGAGATGTTAATATAATAAGTCTTATTCAGTTTAACTCAAATGGTAACAAAACCCAAAGATGAGACAAATAGCAAACATAGTGACGATGATTGTTACTGATAAAGTTGAACCTACATAAAAATATGTAAGTCAATAATATTAGGATATGAGACGTGGATGAGTTATAACTTTTTAAAACATCTTCTAAATTTTTAGAGATCAATAACAACATTTGCAATTGTTATATTGTAGAAATTTTGATGATAATCCTTGAAAGAATGAGTAGAATAGTCTTTTATTAGAAGTTTGCCAAAGTTGACATAATCATATGAAATTTAGTTATTTTTCTAATCCACATTTCAATTGTTGTATTAATCTAAAACATATTATTTAGGTAGATTATATTTTGCATTTTCAGATTTGTGTTGAATTGCAACTTTATACAACCTTTTAAAAATATTTTAATCTTGTACATTTACTTAATATTTCATTTTAAGTCATACAATTGTCGGTCAATATGTTAACTTGGTAGTTAAGTAATGATGTGTCAATCGCTGAGCTTACATTTTGCTAATTTGGAAGTCCAAATTTGTGCTTTTATGTATTTGATTAGACACAGAATACTCAACTCCAAAGGATTGAAGGCCAAGACACTAAAATCGCTCTTATATAGAATTCTAACAACTGAAATTAGAAAAGCCTCCTATCATAAGATGGATTCTTGAAGTTGATGACTTTGGTCTTTTCATCCTCGATGATGACGTCGATGACTTAGTTCTTTTTGTCATCGCCGAAGTACATGGTTTTTTATTTTTTCTACTTCTTTTTTAATTCATCTTAAAAAAGATTAATCACATAACACAATTTTGGACTCCAAGTGAATAAAATGTTGGCTCCATGCTTGTTAAATCGTCAATAAACAACCAGTTTAACGAATTGACTAATGGTTTTAGGACATTGAAATAAAATATAAGTAAAAGTATATGATTGAAATGTTTTAAAGATGTTATATGAGGTTGCAATTGAACACAAACGTGAAGAAGGAAAATATAATTTACACTATTATTTTGTATTAGTTAGAAAAATGGATGTTCTACTTGTCCAATTAAGTTTAGTAATGTAATTATTGTGCAATATGACAGGAACTTGATTATTGTGCAATGTGAAGAACTTGATTATTATGCAATATGACATAATTGATTGCATTTGATGGATGTCCTAGTCTTTTATGCACAAGGTTGTATGTACTAGTTTTGCAAGATAACATGTATGTTTGTGAGATGATGCAGATAGCAACTGCTTTGGTATGTAAAATGGAATAAGGTAATAGCCATCTTTACACAACCATTTGATGAGTATTATCCTTGTGATCTTATCTTGAACCCAAAAAGGAATTTCGTCACATATAGACTTACATCTATTGT